ACACCAAATTGCTACTATTCGAACCAACCATCCAGGTGTGTCAATATTTTTAACGATTAGGAGGCAGATATTATTTTGCGAGGTGTGTTCCCAGGCAAAGGGGAGCTCCTTGTTATCCAGGGGAATGCAAAAGACTTTAGTATTACTAAAGTATTCCGAATTCAGTAACTTCCAATTCCCCTGGAATTGGATAGTAGTACTCAACCCAATTCTTTTAATGTGGGCTGAACTCAACAAGGACATGCCTTATCTTGCAGCAGCTTTTGCTAAGTTTTACTCGATGAAGGAAATGGCCCCCTGGGCAAAATTGATCCTACCGCAAGACCAGCTGGAGTTCTCAGCTCCCCGCTTAAATAACCTCTATCAGGTCGCTAAGGCGATCGCCGCCGAGTATGGCCCATCTAGCATTAGCCAGATCGCTAGTGGGCCCAGAACTTCCTTCATACAAGACCTTTGCAACAAGGCATTAGTACTCGTACGAGCTGCTGGGGCAGCTAAGATTGTCGACTCATCTGCTCTCATAAGATAGCAGTATGGGCAACATGAGAATACGGAGTTGATGGCAGAACTTTTCTCAAAAATGAAAAACAGTCAGGCACAAATCCAAGATGCTGAGGATGATCTCGCCAATCGAGTAGACCAAGACTAAGACTAACATCAGAATCTATAACTGTAAATAGATAGAAATATTCCCCAAATCCCCAGCTCTGTTCCCCAAATCCGTCGCCCTCGCTACGTTCCAAATCTCACGTAGCCTTTGCCACCGTGAGATTAGTCACGTAGGCACTTTTACAAATACCCGTTCCACTCTGGAAGCCCTGCTCAGTCTTTCCTCGACTTCGCAAGTGAGCGTAGCCCTGTCCCCTCGTTCCGTAGCGGTGCGGTCTTTTGTTATATTGTATTCTCTGTCATTTGTGTATATCATTTAGTGCCATCGAGCACCAAGTATATCGTTCTATCACATAAATTCCGTTGAACACTCCATTTATTAATTTCCCGAATACCAAGATTTGTTATTCGATAGTATCGATACATATCGATACACTTAATTCACGCGGGACGAAACCGGGAGGGATTTTAGAGAATCTCAAATCCTGCGACCCCCGAGGAGATCCCGATTTCAGAGAATTAACAAACAAAATACGATCAAGAATACGAATCAAGATCCCAGGGATCAAGTCGAACTTTAAAGGATCCTTTTCTCGGATCTTCAAAGCTCTCGGGACTGTCTGAAGTGTTTGGTGCTGGGGATGAGCGCGAGGCACCACACCCTCCTCCACGAGGGTCTTGGTCACCCTCCCGTCTCGGACCTGGCGCCCTTCTTGGCGGTCCCGACACCTCCAGAGCCCGTCTCCGAGTCCCGAGCCGTGCGCAAGCGGGCGTGCCCCGCCGATTCCTTTCTTACGATCGCCGAATATCATTCCGGAAAGCCGTATTTCGAAAGACAATTTGCTTCCATCTGCGAGATGGACTTCTTCCCTGAGATGCCGAAAGAAAGATTGTCACGATTGTTTGTTAAGAAAAATTGTCACTCAGGATACATTTACATTAAAGACAGATTAGTTAATAAGAATAAATATTTTAATGATCTTGTAAAAAATGTACATATAAATGCACAGCCACTCCCAGATGTAATATCAACAGATGGTCCCGGGGTTTTTCCCTCCGGACAATCTTATCTTCGAAGTTTTCATTTATTTGTTTGACTAATTTTTATCATGTACCAAAAAAATAAAAAAAAAAATAATAAAAAAGTTTTATGAGGGCCTCACCTTCCCGCTCTCTATTCGAACTCTTGATTGGGAAGAACTCGAGGAAAGGAGCTTTTGTGCTATTTCACGTAGCGTCGGAAGTGTTGTTACAGACGTGTGTACGACACGCCAACAGTATGTCCAAAAGGGTAAAATTTCCAAGCTGGCAGTTGTTAATGGGTTAAAATTCCCAGAAGTTCCGGCGTGTCTAGCTAATTTGAAACGCCTAGAGGAGCGCATGATAGCTCCTTACATTAATTTTATGCAAATTAGACTATAAAACCGCGCAGCGTTAATCCACAACATGGATTGAAAGGTAGTATCGTAAATGTTCCAATCGAGGTGAATGATATGGTGAGTGTTCTTCCGCGACAATCTGATAACTTGGCAACCGTGCAGATAAAGCTTAAACGGCACTTAGACCATGGCTCTCATTACATGTATGAGACATTCGTCCATCTAGGGTTGCAGATGCATTGAATTACCTTACGAACACTACCCTGTACGTTAAGCATGGCAGTTCCATCGATGAAAATTGTTTAACTGCTCATTGTCTGAATATTAATGAGGGGGTAGAGTCCACCGTGGGTCCAAGTGCAACCATCTTCTGGAATGAACTTCTTTTGGCAATTGCAGCATCCTCTAAGACTTCGGTCAGTGAATGGTTGATGATATAAATTCTGTAGATGTTATCTCCACAATTTATTACGCAGAATTTAATACGTAGAGGTCTATTGCAAGCAATCTTCATTAAAGATGTTTTTTATTCTCAAGAAAAATAACCCCATGCCACCGAAATTTGTGTAACTCCCCCATCGACGCCGACATGCTTAACCAGTCGGAAAACTCCTAACAGTTCCGGACGGTATATAGCTCAAAATGGGAGGTAGACAATGCCGGACAACGAATTAGCGTTCCGTTCCTTCCATGCGATGAAGCTTTAAACGAAACGAATTTTCACCGTACCCTCGTGAATATAAGTGGAATCGAATTTTGGCCTTCGACACCACTGACTTACTCCACTCTAGATTTCATCGTGGATCCCAGTGATAGGGTAAGCTCTGATGATCAGAATTTGACGCGGCCCGCATCCGAGCCCCCGAATAGGGTATTAGGCAAGGCAACTCAAAGCCGAATCGATTACGCGGTTAGATCTTTGACGAACAAAACATTGGATGATGTAGAGGAGGCCTACCTCATGGAGTAGTCTTGAAAGTAGGGATCAAGTACATGATCACCATTCAAAAAGACATTTTTATTTTGAAATAACTATGTACTTTTAATCTCCTCGTTATTTTGAGGGTGTGAATAGTAATCTAACTATAATAGTTAGTTGAAGTTAAAATGTATTCTAGTTGAAAGTTAAAATGTAAATTGTATATACTTTTAAGTTACCTACTTAAGTTAAAATGAGCTTTTAAAGACATCAAAGATGCCTATAAGTGTATTCATGGTACAATATTTTCTTGTGTGCAAAGAAAAAGATCACCATTAACGTTAATGTTCGCGATGGCCTAGTCAACGGCGCTGTCGGTACTTTACTTGGCACGACTTACCAGCCTGCACTGAGAAAAAACTATGGCTTATAAACCTATTAGAGGTAAATATGGAACACCACTAATAGTAGTACCTCTACATATAATAATAGCACATATACCTTAGTTATGGTCTCTGTACCTTAATTAGGTACAGAGACCATAGTATGGTTCACAGACCGAGAATCATTAGTTTATTTACGACTATTATAGGTGTTCCATATTTACCTCTAATAGGTTTATAAACCATAGTTTTTTCTCAGTGTGGTCACGGCTAAGACACGGTTATTGACAGAATTTGGCTCGATTTTGGTGAAAATTCGAATGTTGGCAAAAATGCTCGGCTAGCTGTTCGTGATCACAAGGAGGCGATGGAGCTCCATCCGCGACTTGTACCGTTGAGTAGGATAAGTCTCGAAATTTCAGGAGACAAAGACTGACGTTCAAGAATCATCCGAGTGCAGTTCCCTATCGTTCCCGCGGAAGCAATGACCACTCATAAAAGTCGGGGCCAAACAATCACACCTTGCCCAGCAATTGCCTGAATTGGCTGGAGAAAAATCGACATGGTGGTAAGATAAGAAACGTTGTTGTTTCTTACCCCATCGTCTTTATCAACATGCGTAATGAACACTACTGCAGGCGTGCTGGCAGGGCTCATCGTAGGAACAACGTATCCTATTGTTACAATTAAGTGTCTAAAGTTATCTCCCAAACTTGTAACAACGAAGTATGCAAGAAAAGCGGCCCATCATTCTGTGCCGACCTCTCTGCAGATTAATACCTCAAAATAAAATACTCGGTAAGCCAGGAAAATGGACTCCGAAAAATGTTGTCAATCCAAGATGGCGGAACCTTGGTCGACGGGGAAACCACCGGTGATTCGGAGACGCAAGCGGGGCTCGACTCCAACTTCGCGTGGAGCCTTCTGATTGGTCGGCGCTGCTGATGGTGTCGTTGGCACCGTTGACTTCTCGGTGAGGTACCGAATGTTTTCATTTTTGATAATGAGTGCTTCTGATAACATGTTGTTGATTCTAATTGAAATTTAAATCGAATTGAATGTTGTTGATTGTAACTGAAATTTAAATGAATTTTAAAATCTTTAAATCTTGAAATCTCTTAGGTAACATTCGATTATTAGAATTGACTTCTCTTGTATTTAAATTGAACTTGACCATTGTCAATTGCAAACAAGTAATTTTTTGAATTCAATTTTTCGACTAATTCTTAATCTCTCTCGCGTAACATGCGTAGCCTTTGGCAAAGTCACCAGTCTTTCCGGTTTGTCAATTCTAGGAGGATTTAAACCGCCACCTCTACCAAAACACAACGATCCTACTGTGCTTGATATGGAAAGGTTAAGAAAATATCCTTTGCAACTCGCGTTCTGGAACTTAGAAAATAGGAGCGGTCTCGTAATTGCATATCATGACGTGAGATCTTTCAATAAGCACAGCTGTGACGTGAAGTCTAATGTGTGGTATTCCAGAACGGACATACTGGTCTTAGCGGAGATTTGGACCTTTCGGGGTGGTTTCGGAGCCCATCTTCCGATGGAAATCCTATCGCGGCATCAACTGGCTTAAGTTATTCTATGAGGATCCAGCAAAATACTATTTCCAGTTTCAGAAAACAAGTCATACTTCAAAATTTTTTTAAAATTATATTTTATTTCGGTTACCGCGCAAAATCATCAAACTTTACGGGCTCATTTTCCATGATTTGAATTTCGGATTTTGTGTAGATAATTAGAGTACCTTTATAATCTGCATCATTTGAATTCTTCGGTAGACTCCATATGCGTAGAGATAAATCGTGGTTGTACCGTCAGTGTTTTAGACTCGGGAGGAGATCTATAAATTTAGTATTCACACTTCAAGAGGGCCTCGCTCGCCGCGAACCCTATGCCGTCATTTCAACGGGAACGGACTCCCTCCGACGATCTCCCCGATGTGCCATGGTTCAGGGAGCCGTGTGGGGTGATTGATGTTGTGATGCTATAAATTATAATTTATTTTCACTTAGCGAGGCAAGATGTTTTCAGTGACAGCCCCCCCCCCTCCACCCTATTGTAATTGCTCAAGTGGGAAACTCCTTCGAAGCGGAGTCACCACACGCGCATGGGTATTTCGAGTCTTCCTCAAAGGCATTTAAAACAAAGGGTAACCTTGCAATGCATATAATTTGTGCCATGGTTCAGGGAGCCGTGTGGGATGATTGATGTTGTGATGCTATAAATTATAATTTATTTTCACTAAGCGAGGCAAGATGTTTTCAGTGACAGCCCCCCCCCCTCCTCCCTATTGTAATTGCTCAAATGGGAAACTCCTTCGAAGCGGAGTCACCACACGCGCATGGGTATTTCGAATCTTCCTCAAAAGCATTTAAAACAAAGGGTAACCTTGCGATGCATATAATGGGCGTCCGCAGGTTCGTATATTCGTTTGTCGGGGCACGTTTCGACTTTCGAGATATCGAAATTAAAGCGAGATGTGCAATCCCTTCGAGACTGGGTTGCAAGCGAAAACATGGCTCTTGTAAAAAGCAACTGACACACGTTATTTCAGAATCTGCCATTAGTCCATTGTACTAACCAAGGACACAACTCCAACAAATTTGTTGGCAAAGCCGCTGAATATTCAGAGAAAATGAAAGATACACTTGGTGTCTTTTGATTTTATTCCCTTTTTTCCCGTTCTATATTTTTTATAATGGCCATGTGATTTCCTGTTAAACGCCATAGGTAATGACATTCCTTAAACGAAGCCGCACTCAGAAGATTATATCTGGGTTGATTTTTTTAATTCAAGGACTGGGAGTTTCGTCCAACTCGAAAGAATACAAGAATTCAACCCGTTCTATGTTACAGCACCAACGAAGAAGTGTGGGGAACAAAACTTAAGAATATAATAGTTCCGCAGATAAACCCGCCCCATCTTAAGCTACGAGTAAAAGCGCAGTATACCCCCGTCCATTTTTTCGACTCCGATTTGAGAATAATGACGCTCCAAAAGGGCGTGGAAGGCATAATGCCGGTAGTGCACTTTAAGCAAATTGCTCGGCTGCTTAAAGGACTGCATGAAAGACAGGTTGCATGTATTGGTGGGAGAATATACGTGAAGGTTACGCGTTGGACCCCTGCCACGCTGAAAGAAGTTAGTTTATTTTTAAATTTCTTTGGAATCAAAGAAAAATACACATGCCTACAATTTTCATCAAAGTCATTTTCTTCATTAATTTATTAGTATTCACTTTCTTGAGTGATCCACTGCTTGTTTATTGACTAACAACAAACCGCCTAATAAACCAGTACCGCGTACTGATAATTCCAATACAGATACTTCCAACACGCGTCCAACTTTTGTAAATTACTTTTGAAACAATTATAGAACTTAGGATAAATTGATTACTTACTTGCAATCCAGGTCTTGTTATTGATGCATTCTCCCGTGCCTTCCAGGGAGGACCAATAGTGTGAGAGTTCACCTGCGACGTCTATCGACAATCATGGGACGCTGCGAGCACAGTGCTCCTGCTGCGAAGTGCGAAGCAGAAATTTCGGAAAAAGCCAAATGGAGCGAATTACGCCACCAGAGACTGTATAGTGTTGGTTCTTGGATCATTTTCAGTTATTGCTGAAAATGCGCCGGACGCACGTCACAGAATTTGGTTTTGATGCTTAATCCTTGTGGTTTAGCTAATCTGTCTAATGCGCGACTTACTACGTTCAAAAATAACCGAGATATTGTGCATAGAAAAGTTAGGTTTTTGACGGCAACCACCGCGGTATTAACACCCCCTGTTTTTTCCGCCTTGCTTTCCATTCGCGTTTCACGCAGAGTAACTAATGATAAGTTATGTCCCTGACTGATACCCAAGGTGCAAGAAACCATGGGTGTCACTACCGCGGAGGATAACGTCGAAATCCCGAATTTTCGAAGGGCGATGTCTCGGTCAATACTGAACGTAGAGGGCTGCGGTTTGGACGGACCCTCATATTTTTAGCTACACTGGTAAAAAAAACCTCTTGGTTCAAGGGTGCAGTTTCTTGTCGCCGGGTTTAAGAGTCTGGACTCTCGTTTCAAGCGGATTTTGAATTGAATCAATGCAAAATCCGCTTGAAACAAGAGTTCAAGACTCATAAATCCGGCGACAAGAAACAGCACTTTTAAGTCAATGCACCGCCACCGCGGCGTTGGTCCAAGAGGTTTTTGTTACCAGTGTAATCTACCAGGCTCGAGTATCAGAACACGATTTCGTGACCAGCGAACTGTCGTTTTTAACAAAAATGATATTTCGGGTTTAGGTCCAAAAATGGTCCCCTTCGCAAAGGCATGATTCTGCCTCCCGAAACCTTCAGTTCCAAGCCATTCAGCTAGAAATATGGCATCCGAAAATTTGTGATGATCCAAACATTGCTGAATCGCTATCTCGACTGAACACACCATTTTGTCATCTTCTCTCATCTTATTCTGACCATTCTTTCCATTTCCAGTCTTCCCGTCGTTTTTCCTCCTCTCTACGTCTTTTCTCCTGTCGACGTCTTCCTTTCTGTCGTTGTATTGAAAATTTTTGACGTGTTTTTCTGGTAAATAAAATGGTCTCGCTCTTGCTCACGTCAGTATATAAAGCCGCCATTGGAAAAGCTTTCGTAAAGTTTATTTTGAAGAATCAGGTAGCTGAAATATGAGGAATTTTTCTTCTACACTGTTAAAAAAAACGGAGTGAGACTCAGCACAAGCGCGAGTAAGAACGGGCCCTCACTTCGCCGGACCGAGGAGTCAGTCCGACGGAGAATCGGCTGGACGGATTTTGGGTGCCGTACGCATAGAAATCACTCCGGCGCCGGACGGATTCGCGGGAGCCGCAAATTTAGGGGTTCGCAGCTAGGGGATGGTGGAAAGGGGTTAATTGTGGAAATAATTTCTGAAACCATGAAAAATAAAAATAATGAAACCATTGGTACGTGATTTAATCGATTTCGAAGGGTAGAAATTTCCTACCTACCTTGAGATTTGAACCCGGGACCTACCTAACACTAACCGACGACCCTACCGATTGAGCTATAGCGAACAATGCATGTCAGTGACGCAAAAACGGTATTTAACGTCGATTTGAACGGGCCGCTAAGATATTTTCAATCTACCTGGATTTGTCCGTGTATTTAGTTCACTTTACTATATTTTTTAACTATATTTTATCGTTTTACTTTGTTTTATTTCCTTGTTGTCTCTATTTTTTCTTCACTCTATTTTATTTTTTCAAGCACTTCATTTTTTTTTCTTTAATTATTTACTTCTCATTCCTTTACTTTGTTTTATGTTTACTGTGATTTCTTTTAATACTTCATCATAATTTTTGGACTTCACTTTACTCTTAAAATTCATTCTATTCTTTAACATCATTTAGTTGTTTCCCTTATTTTATTTGTTTCTTCATCTCCTTGCTCCCTCTAATTATTTACTTCAATTTAGTCTTTGACTTCATTTTATCATATATATTTGATTTACTTTATTTTATTTCTTTTCTATTGCCTCTGTCATTCCATAATTTCGACTATTCTATATTATTTCCACTATTCTATTATTTTTTCTATTTTTTTCTCCTTAAATTTTTCATTTTCATTCTGAGAGTGGTAGGCTTAAAGGGGAGAAGAGACAGTATATAGCGCTAGTGCGAGGGAGAGAAGGTGCGCGTGACTCCGGGCCGTACTGCAGCTCCGGTGCGGAGTGCTTTAGACTACACATGCAGCCCGTCTCAGCACCTACGCGCTGAACCGCACTCCCGTGTTCATTCTCACTCCGGATTTTCCGTCGGACGGAATCAACGATTTTTAACAGTGTAGCGTGTTTTGAAGGAAACCCCATAAATTACTTTGCATTTAAACTTGGATATTGCATTTTGCATCGTTTTTTTTTTTTGTCGTACTTCTGTTTTTCAAACTAAAATTTTCCTCTCTCTGTTTGTAGGTCTCCATGAAAAAAGAGTCAAAAGCTCAATCATGGATGGAGATCCGGATGAAAACGTCCGAATCGGCAGGCTAAACACTAACATCGCGGATAAAATCCAGAAGTTATCGCAAAGAGCCAAGAGGAAATCGTAGATATGTAATCAGTCTGTAAATAGTCTTCTATCTGATTAATTCCAATGTTTTGATTTTTGTGTAAATATATGAATTCTTTAAATTTAATTTTGACTGAATCACTTTCATCTTGAAAATCATATTTTATGCAATTTTCTATCTGTAAAAATAAAATTCCATCGTAGAAGAAGAGAACTATAGGTATGAATTCAACATTAATTTGAAAGTGGGAATGAATATTTTAAGTATGAAACAATTATTTGTCAAATGATTTGACAAAACTAATTTTTATGGGTTTGAATCAAGCTGTGTTGCTTTCTTATGACCGGCTGTATGGATTCTTATAGCTGGCTATTTGCGTTCATATGGCCGGCTATAAGAACTCATATGGCTGGCCATTTAAATTCATATAGCCGGCTATAAGAAACTATATAGCTAGCCATAAGCCAAAATATCGTATAACCCATACAGCCTTACAGCCGAATTCTACCAGGGTATGACCTCATGAAAGCCATTGGTAAAGTCTAACGAGCAACATCTAATTGAAAAGAGGCAGTGTGAAACGCATCACCAGAAACAAAAAAAATAAGCATACTACACTGTTAAAAATCAATGATTTACTCTGCCGCCGTGAAAAAAAAATCCAGCGCGAGTTTCGCGCCTTACTCTGAGTGAATAGTTGAGGTACCTCAAGTAGCGTGAATTCAGGGCCATATGATACGAGCGCCGAATGGCAAAGTGGTTGCGCACTCGTCTATCATTGCCGCCACTCGGGTTCGATAGAGTCCCTTTATACCCAGAGTTAAGACAACTCGATTATCAGCTGACTGACAGCCGGCCTTGGCTGGCCATGGAGGCCGAAACGAGTGCACCCAAACGAACGATATTGAGGGATAAGGATCAGGAATCCTGCGATGTCTGTCACACAAAAACAACAACATCAACAAATTGATCAATTAAAAAGAAAATGAGATTGGTTTGTGAATAATTTCTTAATCTATTTTCATTTTGGACCGATGGAAATAACAATTTACTCTTGATAAACCACAATTAGGTAATATTTTCATTATTCTTGTTCATATTCGAGGTACCGCCATCTTGGTGCACTCGTTTCGGCCTCCATGAGCGAGAACCAATCAGAATTGGATTTTTTTCTAGGCCACTTTCAGCCCAACCAAAAGTGAGTTGTCTTAACTCTGGGTATAAAGGGACTCTAGGGTTCGAGTCCATGCTGCAACAGTTCCGTTTAATGTTTGCCTGTCAGATTTTCACTCCCGCTAGAGCGCGAAATTTGCGCCGGATCCATGCACTTAGAGTAACGGGTAGTCAGAACAGCGACTGAGTAGGCGTGAATTTCGCGCCGGGATTTTTAACAGGATACATTCACCATCAAACAAAGTTTTAAAGTGCGTGGCAAAGATGTTATTCACATGGTGGAATGTATGGCTTCAGAAAATGTTTGGTTCTCAAAGTTTCAGGACTTTTGTTAAAAAAAGTTGGAAACCTCAACTCTCCTGTTGAATAAAGTCGGCTTTCATGATTCATGTCAATCTTTAACAGATGCATTAATGATAATACCATGGGATGTATGGCTTCAGAAAATGTTTGGTTCTCATAGTTTCAGGACTTTTTTTTAAAAACAGTTGGAAACCTCAACTCTCCCGTTCAATGAAGTCGGCTTTCATGATTCATGTCAATCTATTAACAGATGCATTTATGATTATATCGAAATTATCAAATCAAAAAGTAGACAGTTCATTTAAGTAATCATTTATTGATTGACGATTTTTTTCGTTTCCGACATTATTGGAAAATTCACAAGCGTGGACAAAATTACAAAGATTAAAATAAAAGATGGAGCGGAAAAACGAAAATTATTTTGGGGAATTACCGATTAAAAATCAACTGCAAGTCCTAATAACAAATTATAAATTACTTTTACTCTCAGAAGTTTCTTGACGTGATAAAAAATTGTGTAAAACCCTTAGTAAGTTTACAATTAAACGACAGGAGATGAATCATTTGAACAAAATATCGCAACTTTCAAACATGTTCACTGAAATCATCAGCTAACTTCAATAGAAAATTGAACAGATAAAAATAACAATTTTCATAAAATAACAGACTTTGGGTTGAATATTTTCGATCATTATAATTATTATTATACACATATGAGCTTACTGCAGGGCAGATGAAGATAGCAGCACTAATTAGAATCTCTGCGATTTTATCAAACCAGTGCAACTCGCCGATTTTTAAAATGTAAATAAAAATACATATACAAGGTTTGAAAAAGAGGGGTAGCTTTACGCACCTCAAAGTACGAGAGTACTTAACCATCGAAATCAACGAAGGCAAATACGACGTACCATTATATCACAAAGGTAGCAGAGACAAGGCGTTTGAATTTTTCGAACGAAAGAAGGATCAACTAAGGTCTAGGATCTCCGAAATGCATAGTGTGTTTCAGCTTGGAGACGAAGCTAAAGAGGTGTCACGTATATTGTTGTGGGAACGCTTAAGTCTTTACAGGCTTAAGTTTCCCACATTCGGCTCCATAGATGAGGCGTGCTTTGCGTCATGGCTTTTCGTGAGAATTCACGGATTTCCATGGCCAGCGATAGAGATAGGTCCGTCGGATGTTAGCGCTTGTTTATGTCTAAACGTGAAGCTTCAGTGTCGCGGAAGTGCACACGTTTTGACATAAAAAGATTCGGTGATCGCATGGGCGAGATCAGTCTCGAGGAAAAGATTCCCAGATGATCCGGTCGGCCCCTGTGAGTGTAGCTTGAGAAATTAGAGATATACATGTTCATTTGTTCATTATTCATATATTCATTGTGTTCTTCATTTGTGCGCGATCCCCCCCACAACAATATCTCGAGAGGCTAGTGAAAAAGCTAACTCACTGCAAAACGTAGATCTATTAGATAAGACCATAATTAAGTCCGTACTGTGTGA